TCTAAAAAAATTTCAGAACTTTTTGTGTGTTTTGGTTGCAAACAAGGGATTAATAATCAGCTCGGACATGAATGCTTATCAACAAGCCGTGCTGAAAAATGTGAAACTTATTTTGACCAGGCTTTGTTTACAGTTAATTGGCCTGAGATAGCAAATGACTTCATTCGTGAAAATGAATGTAATATAAATTTTAGTAAACTAATTGTTACTGATGACTTTTTTTGATGTTATTAATGTAAATGATGTACTGAATATTATTCAAAATTTATATGTATGTGAAGAAACTAATTTGTTTAAAGATTTACTGAATAGTTCTTTTTGAAAAAATAAAATAAAATATTAGTTTTTATTTTCACTTTTTTGTATTGCTTTCTTTTTTTGTTTCAAAATATTGTTTTGTTTTTTTTAAAAAAAAATTGTATACTTTTTGAGTGACTCGGCATGAATTTTAATTTTCTAACTAAGAAAATATACTAAATAGTTAATATTTTTAAAAAAGATGTTATTAGGATTAGGTGAAGCGGGGTATAAAAAAGTATAAATAAATGTTCACTTTGATTTATCATTTCATTTGGGTAGTGCTTGCCCGAGGATGAACATAACTTTTTCTGTTGATAAAAATTCCTGTTGTAATGTCAGAAATTCTGAATCTGACATATCGGGATCCAGCGCAGCCGGCAAGCTTCGGTGGTATAAATGCTTTACAACGTGTTTTCTGGAGTAAAAAGCAAAGAAATCAAAAGATGGTTGCAGGCGAAAGATTCTTATACGCTTCACAGACCTCTGCGGCACAGATTCCAACGCAACCGAGTCATTGTAGGGGGCATCGACGAACAATTTCAGTCTGATTTAGTGGATATGCAATCGCTGGTATCTTTTAATAGTGGTTATAAATATTTACTGACGTGCATAGATATTTTTTCCAAATACGCTTGGGCTATCCCTCTCAAAGATAAAACAGCTGTGTCCATTAAATCTGCTTTCAAAAAGATATTTTCGGAACGTACACCCGAGTCTTTACAGACAGATGCAGGAAAAGAGTTTACCAATAAGCAAGTTCAAAATTTTTTGAAAAAGAAAAATATCCACTTTTTTACGACACACAATAATACAAAAGCTTCTGTCGTGGAACGGTTTAATAGGACCCTTAAAACTAAAAACTAAAATGTGGAAATACTTTACCGAAATGAATACACGAAGGTACATCGATGTTATAGATAAATTGATATCCAGTTATAACAACACATGGCATCGAAGTATTAAGACAGAACCTGCATCGGTTACGCTACAAAATCAAGAAAAAATTTGGAAAACTTTGTACGGTCAGCAATCAGCACAAAAACCTGTTCCTTCAGATTTAAAGATTGGAGACACGGTACGCATCAGCCGCGAAAAAATGCTCTTCGAGAAAGGATACGAACAAAATTGGACAAGAGAAATTTTTACAATCCATAAAATAATTCGTCGAAATCCTATCGTCTATAAATTAAGAGATTTAGCGGGAGAAGATATACAAGGAACCTTCTATAAACAAGAATTACAAAAAGTAGCGGACTGTGGGTACTATCCTGTCGAAAAGGTACTGAAGACAAGAAAGCATTGGGGAAAATCAGAATACTTTGTTAAATTTCAGGGTTACCCTGAAAAATTTAATACTTGGGTTTCAAATTTGAAAATGATATAAAAACATGCGTACTGTATTTTACTTTTCATTTGAGCGAAAATGTCCTTCTACGTAACACTCATAAGCGATAGCTCTAGGAGATTTTTTCCAGACAATAAAATTTCTCGATTTATTACCCAACTACCGTCTCCTATTGATCTTAGTAATGGGGACTGGGAACTAGCTCTCCTAAATATTATTTACCCTCATTCATGGTATAATGTCGGAAAAGATAATAATTTATTTGGGTTTGCTGTTCACAATGGAGAACTGGAAGGACGGCATATTCCTCCTGGTTATTATGAAACGATACCGGACATATTAAAAGCTATGACTTTAGTTTCTCATAAAAACAAAATTGAATTTTCTTATCATAACATTACGAAAAGAGTAATGATAAAGACGGATGAACAATCAAAAGTGGTTCTTCACGGAGGACTAGCTGAGCTCTTAGGATTTGAACCGGGTGTTTTTTACGAAGGAAGTGTCCAAAGTCCTTTCGTAGCGAATCCGAATGGTTTTTTCCCCGTTATGTATGTATACTGTGATTTAGTTGAACCACAAATCGTAGGTGACGTACAAGCCCCCCTTCTGAAAATTGTAACAGTGGAAGGGAAAGACGGAGAGATTATTGACAAACATTACTCTCGACCTTTTTATTTACCAGTGATTCGCCAACATTTTCAAACGATTGAAATCGAAATAAGGTCTCATTCGGGGAGTCTGGTGCCGTTTGAAAGAGGTAAAGTTTTCATAGTGCTCCACTTTCGTTTGAGACAAATTCTATAAAAAGCTTTACCAAAAGAAAAAATTATTCATTCATAGTGTAAACGTTCTAAAAGCTGTATCAAAAATGCTCATTCCATATGCTTGTTGCACCAAACACTTTGAGGATTATTATGTGGGACAAACTGGAAAAGGTCTGCCGTATTATCAGGGAATGGTTTTACAGAAAGGATACGGAATAGGTGGATTTTTTGCGAAACTTTTCCGTAGTGCCATGCCATTTTTAATTAAGGGAGCAAAAACTGTTGGAAAAGAAGCTCTACGTGCAGGAACGCAAATTGCAAACGATGTGATATCAGGAGAAAATTTTAAATCAGCCTTTAAAACCAGATCTAAAGAAAGTGGAAAAAAATTAGCAAGGAAAGCAGTTCAAAAAGCAGATGAGATGATTGGTCACGGAAAGTTTAAAAGGAAACGCAAATCTCCCAAACGCTTCATTTCGTCTAAAGCCAGGAAAGTGCAAAGACGTGACATTTTCAACTCATAATGGCTTTCCTCTTAAAAGATTCTCCAGAATGCGCCAAATCTGAACTCGATTTATTTACATTACCTCCAACCCAAACAGTTATAGAAAGAGGACAATGGATAGAATTTCATCCCCTTGCGAATGTGTCGGATGGAAGTCCTGTCGAATTCAATGTCGCGGGTAGTGGCGATGACTATTTGGATTTATCTCAAACTCAGTTATACGTCAAAGTTAAAATTTTGAAAAGCAATGGCGGCTCTCTCGGAAAAGATGATAAAGTGGGACCCGTGAATTTGTTTCTGCACTCCCTCTTTTCTCAAGTTGATATAAGCTTAAATGAAAGACTTATTTCCTCCAGCAATAACACGTACCCTTACAGAGCCATCATAGAAAAATTACTTAATCATGGTTTTGATACGAAAACTTCTCAATTATCATCAGAATTATATTTTAAAGATACAGCAGGCCGTATGAATGTTTTTGATACTGCGGATAAGCAACCTAATGAGGGATTCAATAAAAGAGCAGAAGAATTTAAACTTAGTGCTACAGTGGATATGATTGGACGGCTACATCTAGATATGTTTCATCAAGAAAGACTTTTGTTGAACATGGTCGATATGAAAATTAAACTTATCCGCAGCAAACCGGAATTTTGTTTACTGGGGGAGGGGAATTTTAAAGTGTCATTGGAACATGCCTCATTATTTGTACGCAAAGTTCGAGTCAGTCCAGGTGTAATTTTAGGGCATGCAAAAAGTTTAGAAAAAGCGACAGCGAAATATCCTATCAACCGAGTGCTTTGCAAAGTGTATTCCATTCCATCAGGAAATATGAGTTTTGTTCAAGATAGTATTTTTACGGGCCAGATGCCTAAACGCTTAATTGTTGCTTGTGTCGATAATGATGCTTTCAACGGAAACTATAAAAAATCTCCCTTCGAATTTAAGCACAATCATATCAATTTTATTGGCATTTACGTAGATGGGCAACCTATGCCTCACAATCCTCTTCAACCTGATTTCATGAATAAAACCTTTATTCGTGCTTATCAGAATTTATTTGCCAATGCAGAAAACCGAGGATTGTATCTTTCGAGATCAGAGTATCCAGAAGGATACTGCTTATTTCTTTTCGATCTATCACCTGACTTGTGTGATGGTTCTCACTTGAATTTAGTCCGTCATAGTAATTTGAGACTGGAGGTAAAATTCGGTTTCCCTCTGCCAATAACAACATCGTTAATAGTCTATGCAGAATTTGAAAACTTAATAGAAATCAATAAATCTAGAAATATTATCTACGATTTTGGTAACTAATGAATTCTTCAGAAATTCATAGAATACTCTCTCATGACAAATGGACAGCAAAGTACTACACTGGAGTTTTCCCTTCAGATAAAATCCCAGATGTTCATCGTTTCCCAGCAGCTATTGTAGTCAACACTGATAAACACAACGAGAAAGGGACGCACTGGCTGGCTGGCTTTCTTCATTGAAAATAATCAGACTTTAGAATTTTTCGATTCTTATGGACTTCCTCCCATGACTTATGGTGATGACATAGCAAAATTTACTAGCAAGTTTAACTGTGTGACATGGAATCAAGTTTCTCTTCAGAGTGTAACATCAAATGTTTGTGGACAATATTGTACTTATTATTTGTTAAAACGATGTCAAGGATTATGTTTGGAATCAATTGTATCTAATCTTTCTGTAAGAAATAGCGATTTTCATGTATTTCATTTTGTGAAGAAAAGGTATGGTGTAAAAATGATTTTTAAGAAATAAAATATTAATTTGCTTGGAATTTTAGTTTTGTCTTTCTTATTAATAAAGTGCAATTTACAATTTTCTTAAATAACTTTTCTTTTACCTTTTAGTTATAGAATAAATTTTAAAGGTTTCATTTAAGCTTAAAAATTATTTTCCATTGTAAATTACTGGAAAAAAAAAAGATTTATTTTACTCATGACATCTGCACATTTTTTAAGGAAAAAAAACTTACCTTTAAAAAAAAATCTGGATCATTTTTTTTTCAACCTGAAATTAAAAAATATTTTTTCACACATAAAAACACACCAAATTTAACTAATATCTTTCTTTTTATTTAATATTTTATCCAAGAAGTTGAATACAATTTTCTTTTCTTTTTTACACATTTAGGTTTAGCATACATTGTAAACAGATACTTGTTTTTTACAAACTCCCTGGGAAAATCTACAACATCTAAGAATTTTTTAAACTCTTCATAACCTACAGGCTTGGTCTGTTGATTTCTTAACAAATAATTCACCAAGTCTTGAACATTAGAATTATTAATTTTAACTTGGTTCATGATTAATTCTTTAGATGGAGTCCATGTAATAATATCATTGTGAAGTTTTAAAAAGTCTATAATTCTTTTGGCAATGTTCTTAAATTTCACTGGAGCGGAATTCACAATTTCTTCTTCCATGGTAAACTTTTTCTCTTCTTCTTTTTGCTAAGCTGAACACTTTCTTGTGTTTCTGATTTTAATTGGGGAAATGTTACATATTTTTGAAGTATTTGAAGGTATTGCTTGGCTTTTTCATCTTCGGATAACTTCTCGTTTAAAATGGTGCTCATTTGCTGATCTAAATCTGATAAATGGTTTTCAGCAAATTCTAATTCTCGATCCGAGGGTACAAGGATAAATTTACGAGCGAACTCCATTAATTAATGTGCTCAGTACAGAAACTGCGGCAGGAATGAGCAACGAAAGAAATCCATCACCTTTTTGTACCAATAGTCTCCGTTTTTTAAATAAGGGTATCTTTTTATCACCTAATGTACGCAAAGTCCGTTTATATACGGCCAGTTTACGTTTCTGTCTTTTAGACAAAGGAACGTTACCCTGTAATACATTTAAAGCACATTCACATACACTTTTAATAACACTATTGGGACATTTTCTTAGAAGAGTTTTTTTTACTTTACTTTTGCCTAGGAGTTTAAGATGTTCCAGGCTCGACATCTGGACCTCAAATGATTGGTACTTTAACAATTCCTTCTCTTTTATAAAGGTCGCATAAGCAACCGCTTTTTGTGCAGATCTTATATTTTAGGACATTTTTTAAATAATCTAATTTTCAAAAAAAAAAAAAAAAAAAAAAAAAAAAAATTCGGTGTGGCAAATTTTATTCTTTTACAATGTAAAAGAGAGTTTTAAATTTTAAAAAACCTACAAATTAAATCACTGAAGGAGAAAACTTGTTGAGTGCAACAGCAACTAACGGAGTTCATAAACAAAATGCTTATCTGAAGGGAAAATGCCTGTACGTAACCTTAACATTTCTTGGGTTTCTGGTCTTAAATCTATTAGTAAATAACTGTAAGGGTTTGAAGTTGCATCCTGGAAGACTTCCTGAAAAGCCTTTGTTTTCCCGGGGAACATCTGCCTTGCCAAATGTACGACTTGACATTTATCTCTAGGATTTTTGAACAGTATCATGTAATGACAATTCAAATGAATGGTTCGCATCTCTTTACCCTGCTGAAATAAATTTTGAACGATAAATATTATAGAAAGATTTCGGTGATGGCTTCCTTTCGTAAAAAGTTTACTTAAACGAGTATCGCTCGCTAACTCAGACATTAAATCATCAATGATAATTAGTGCATTTTGCAGGGAATTGAGGTTCGATGGTAGTCCTTCTTCAAACTGCACATTTTTCATTTTACTAAAAATAGGTTGATATGCTCCATAGCAATAAATTATACGCTGAGGCATAGGAGAAAGCAGACTTTCTTCGATGACTCGTTTCACAAAATATGTCTTACCGGATCCTGTCGGACCGCTGATGAGAGATGTGGAAGGGTGTTTCAACACAGGCCACTCCATTTTGTGGGGTACTGATGATCTTCAGAAATGTGTGAAGCTTTATATACTCCTCTCGTTTAAGAAAAGGCTAAGAAAAAAAAAGAAAAAAAAAAATCAACCACACAATTTTAAAATTTTACTGCAAAATATAATTTTTTTTAACATTAATTCAACAATAACCCTGCAATGAAATAAAATAAATGAGATGCATACCACTTAAAATCCATAGGGAACAGTAGTTAGATCTTCTTTTAGGACTCTTTTGTTGTAAACAATTTTGTACAGTTTTGTTTCTGTTTCTGCCTTAGTTAAAACTTTCCTCTTTTTGGCATCTCTCATGATTTTATGTTCATCGTACATGGCGATTGTTGTTTTTCGATCCATCGAGCACACTAAATTCTTAATCTCCAAAAAATTTAAAATCTGTTGATTTTTGAAGTTGAGGGAGAAACCTCGAACTTTACAGCAAGTCATTCCTCGGGCTGTTACATAAGCGTAATTTTTAGGGCCTCCTGAATGGGGGAAAAAATATGCTACAGAAACTACAAGAATAAAAGATCAACCTAATAAAAAATAAAAATAAAAATGAAGCTCACCAGAGACAAATGTAGTAATAGTATCTCCATTGAGTTCATCTGTAAAATCCCCCAAAAAATTACCAAGAGGCGGATCGTTGGTAAAATCGCTTGCGTATATAATTGAATCCGTGTCATGATACAACACAGCACGGCCCAACTTCTCCATTTCACTGTAAAGCTTTAACCGTGCCCATGCAGTAGTAAAAGCTGCCAAGAACACATTTGTGGATGTGTCCTGTGGAACAAAATAATGTTTATAGTCCCATTGCACAGCAGCTACTTCAGGAGTCGGAAAATATAAGTCTTTGATCTGGAGGAAAAGTTAGCAGGTTGCAAGATTAATCATTTAAAAATATACATCTTAATTTACATTAGAAAATAAAATTACAAAACTTACATTTTTTGTTGGATCTGCTAATAATTTATTGAAATCAGGTAATGTATGAACATAAGTCAAACGTATCTTGTTCAGGTTCATTCCCCATCTTTAAAGAAAAAAAATATATAAGAAAAGAATGAGCATTTTTTTTAAGAAATAATAAATGATATAAAGATGTGAAACAACTCTTTCTATTAAAAACATTATAATAATTATTTACCGCCCCCAGAAGCTGTTCAAAGCCAATTTGGCTACTTGCCGTCTTCCAGGATTCTTCTTAATATTAAATTCATCAAGCTGCACACCCTCTCGCTCAAAATAGGCTTCAATGTAGCGTTTTCGTTCGGTCGAGCTTACACAATCGGCTGGCCAGCCGCTGCTTTCTTGTTTTATTTTTAAAAACAAGTTGATATAAGATTGAAATAGAGTATCCGTAAATTGAGAAAAATGGTACACTTCATAAATCTGAAAAAAAAAAAAAAGATAGTGGGAATATGAATATAATAATATACAATAAAAATACATGCTGTGACATTTATAACACATTCAATAATACTAATAATTACCCAAAATACTTACCTTTGTTATACAGTAACCTTTTTTCACTGCTAATTTGACTTCTTCAGTCACCCATGTGCCAATGATGGCTCTCTCATCATCTGAGTGCTGGCAAATGCCTTGATACATTAATTCAGCACAAGTCTTGCAGAGGGGAAACATCAGTTTATTTTGTGCTCTGTACGGCAATACGGGGAGGTATAAACCTCGAGGAGGCAGTATTCGGCACTTTATAATACCGAAATAGTTTTCCAAGGCATCAAAATTTTCAGTAATAATATTAGGGTGTCCGACGGGGTACAAACAGTATTTATTGACCTAGGAAAAATTGAAAAAATATGAATAATCGGAAAAGCGATTTTCTTTTTAAATAAGACATGCGCGTTTAATAAGATTATTTTATGCCAAAACACAGAAAAAAAAAGTATTTACCCATGGATACAGTGAAGTGAAATCCACATACTTTGCATCACCCTCATAATACAGCTGAATGGCATTTGTCCGCCCGCCGAAGAAAGCATCTTTAGGATTCAATCGATCCTGAAGCTCGTGACTTAGAAGAAAATATTTTACTTTTTCATCTGTTTTCTTTTTCATCTCAAACTCATGCTCCCACATTTCAATTACATTATACCCTCGATCACGTAGCTGGTAAGTCTTGTCTACCGTTTGTTGTCGCAATGTCGACATGGGTAATTTTGTTATGGGGTGGAGTGCATCTCCGTCAAAACAGGTGGAGCAACCGTGAAAGAAACATCCCTGCGATAGTTAAAAATTTTTTCGTATAATACCAATAAATAAATAAATTAAATAATATATTTATAAATAAATAAATATTGAACTCTTACGTAGTATTGATAAACAGTATTTGTTTCTTTGCAATATCCGTCTACAGATATACCATCCAATCGTCTTTCTCCTTTTCCGTTCAAAGCGTGTTCGATTTCAATGCTCTCTTTTTGGGCAATAAAATCAAGCCAACGAATACAGTCAGGACTATGATTCGTGCGATTGATATAACCTCCTACAGGTATCATTGCGATGGTATTAGGTATTATGTGTCGGGATCTGTAAACCGCCATACACGCTGATGCAATGGTTATGTAACTGAAAATAAAACGGACAAGAAAAGTGTAAATCATATATACATAAAGTATACATGCACGTATACAATACGTTGTTACAAAATGACAAAACCATGTAAAAGAAAAGGTTTGTAAAATACCAAAAGGGGTCTACTCCTGTAATTTCTAAAAACTGATTTCTAAATTCAACGCAACATCTACGAAGGATATCAACATCTGATCTGAAAACGAAAAGAGTAAATAAATAAATAAAACATGGTACCAAAAAAAAATACACCTAAAAGACGGATCATAATGAAGGATTAGAAATAGATTGTTGATACAAACCGGCAATACGTGAGAATTTCTTCTTGGAAATCAAATATATCCTTCTCGTGTTCTTTATGCCATTCCAAAAAGGAGGTTCGCACCGCACTAGTCATACAATCAGGATTGTAGTACTTAGGCTCAGGTAAAAATCCCACATAATTTTGATTTTCTTTCTTGTTGAAAAGGTGCGGAAAATATCCTTTTTTTAGTTCTGTAAGGCCGAAACAAGCAGGCAGCTTTGAGAGAGCCATCGGCAGGAAATTAAAAGAATCAATAAGTTTTATGTTGAGGGCGGTATGGGTGATTACCATCACTTTAGAGCCATTAGGGATTACTTCAGGTGCCGTACCCTGTTCTAAAAGCCATGCCATTATAAACTGACCGTCAAATCTGTAAAGAAAAAAAAATTATTATATTTTAAAAAATGTATTATATTTAAAACAATAGCCCTATAATATATATATGCAGATTAAAAATAATAAGAATACATTTACCCCTTCATATTGTGTGCAATAACAGTGTAATTTTTGTGCACTGTTGTAAACAGCCAAGAGCAGAATTCATGACATGCTTCGTATCCTTTAAATATTTTCTCTTGGCCATCTTTGTACTGCGCTACAGCAAAGTTTACGATGTGTTCCCCTGATGATTGGTCAGTTTCGAAATCAAAGAAAATTAATTTATCGGATGGACTTTTCGCAGAAATGAGTTGTAAGAAACAATGATGTTCTGACGCTATAACATACTCTTTACACGAAGGGCATTTGATAGTCCCGCAACGATGTAAAATTTTAGGACACTGCCGTCGCATGATAACTTTTGAGCATTGTCTGCACTGATACATCTGTAATTAGGAAAAAAAAAAGTAGAACAAAGATTTTTTAAAAATATATTTAGAAAAAAAAAAAAAAAGTTTTAAAAATGTAAGTATTAAAAACTTTTTTTTTCCCCTAGTTGAGTAATACTTACCCTATCGCATACTGAATGCTCTTGTCTACCTGTGACGGCTTTATGCGCTGCAAAGCAGTCCTCAGATTGACAGAGGCGATCACAATCTTTACATCTTTTAGGCAATGCTGGAACGCATTGAAATCTTAGGCAGACATGGCACATATTGTCACACCTGTGATCTTCTGGACGGTCATATGGCTTTTCACAATTTTCGCAATAGTTTTTCGAACCATAAAAACCGTGTAAATTTGTAATGACATCAAAATGGCCATTGTGTTGCCACAAATTAATGCGACGAGTTCGATATCTTCCTTTATACGAGACCTAGAAATAAACAGTTTATAAATATAATTTCATTTTACATTTTTTTTTCAATTTAATTAATTTTTTTTTTTTAAAATCTTTGGCTTACTTTATTTAAATTTTCACTGCTTATTACTACGATTTGTATATTTAGATGATTTTCAAATGTGCAGATTTCAGTGTATGTACAAGGACCAAGAGGAACTCCAGCACACTTGTGTAATTCTTGAGCTCGTAGCATTAGAACAGATCGTCTCCGATCCCGTAGAGAATTAAGCGCTGACTTGTCTTGCTCAAGATAAGCTAGGGCATATACGATTGCTTTTGCGCAACACACAACCCTTCATCATCTGACGGGATGGAAAGGACAGAGCGTTTTTTAAGACGATCTACTTGAATGTTGATTATCTTTGCTCTACCTGCACCGATATCCCTGCGAATCGTGATCACATCTACTAGGAAGCCTGAATCCAGCCGAATTTCATCTTTTGACTGCAGAACTTTCATAATAACCGATAATACGGTCTCCACCGTCATGGAAGATACGGCAATAATTTTCGTAGACATGGGTTTATCCAATCCATCGGCTTGGATACACATTCGTATCCAATCTGTCGGCCTTAGATTTTCTGTTGACCGTTGAATTAATATTTCAAACAGCTGTCTAACAGATTCAGTTACGGCTAGAAGAGGCCTGTTGCGAATATTTTGAGGCAGACGATTCATATCAACACGTGCCTGGAAGGTTATTTCCTCGCCTTGATACTTTCGGTTACGACGCCGTGCCTTCTCTTTGAGTATAATAGCATTTTCCATCTGGAAAGAAAAGAACATAATTCAGTGTAAATGAAAATAAGCACACACGCAAACACACCATAAGCCCTAAAACAGGAGAAAAACTCACATTTACTGAAATGTCATGTTCCACATATGCAGGTCCTTTAGATGGAGCAGAAGGTTGAGTCTAAAAGATGTATAGACATCACAGTGATATGAAAAACATAACAAACATAGAAAAAAATAATTCTCATATATATTTATATATATATTAAAAACTGATATTACCTCATATCCCGAGCCTACTTGATAGTAAAGAGGCAAAACCAAAGGATTCTCCAAAAATATCTGCGAAGTTTCACTTAAGAGCTAAAGAAAAGTAACAGTTGTGTTTAAAGAAATTTAGGTTCAGCTTATATAAAAAAAATACAAAAAAAATTAATGACAGGAAAAAAAAAAAAAAAAAAAAAAAAAAAACTACGTACTTCATCTCCTGAATCACTAAAATAATTTTCAATGCCGTCAATAGGATTTTCGATGAATATTTGAGATGTTTCACTCAGGCACTAAATAAATTAAAAATAGTGAATAGTCTTTTTCTAGGTGGGGCAAAAAACTATACATTGTAAAAATAAGCCACAGAAGGAAATAAATAAAACTAGCTTACCTCATCATCAGAATCTCTTAAAAGCGCATGGAAATCCTCACACTACAAAATAATAGTATTTTTAATCATGTAAGTATTACAAACACGTGGTCAAAGAACAATTGAAAATAATATGGCGATATAACTGTTTTGAAACGTTAATATTACAAACACGTGTTTCAACAAAACAGGGTAAAATATAATAAAAAAATCTAAGCCGTGTAAATAAAACACATAAATAAAATTTAGCTTACTTGATCATTAGAATCTCTTACAGATACATCGGAATCCTCACACTACAAAAAATTTTAATTGCGTGTCAGTATTACAGGCACGTGGTCAAAGAAAAAAAAACAAAACACTAAAATAATAAAATTAAACACATAATAACCTTAATACATTTTATATATAAAATAAAATAAAAAAATTTTAAATATGAATACTTACTTGATCAAAAAAGGGTTCCAAAGAACGTTTACTGTTTCTTGAAGCCATTTTCGCAGATACGAAGAGAATTTCTTGTTTTTTCAAAAAGCGTGGTAACAAACTTCTAGAATTTAGCAAGTAATGAATTTCGGAGGCAATCCAGCGGTTGAAACTCGGCTCCGAACTTTTTACTTTGTCTGAATACGCGGATTGGTTAAGAGGGCATGACATCATTTTTCTGCTTTCTGATTGGTCCACAGAAATGTATTCGTTCACCTACGCGGATGTCTACACAAAGGGAGTGAAAAGGCAGACGCCATTTCCCAACCAAATCATGCACAAACATGATAAGGGTGACGTCATTTACCCACCAAGAAAATTCTTCAAAATGGCGGCTATAGAGGAAATCCAAGATGGCGGAGCACGGAAAAACCTTATGCAGATAATTAAGAACCATATCAACCAAGGAATTGTGGGGTATCGCTTAAAGACTTGGATGCGGTCCCCCTCAATCCCTTTTTATTAATTATTGGGTGGTAGCGAGTTCGTACCCCGTGAAAAGGAAATATATTACATTTTCATATTATTTTTTTTTACGATCCTGTTACTTTTAGATGATGTTCTGGACGCTAGATGGCGCCAGCAGTAACATAGCTTCAAGAAAATCAGTACAGATGTAAAAATATCATTTTAACTCTTTCCCTGCAGATAATAAATAATTTTAAAAAATTTCTTCCATTCGAAAATAATATCACCCACTTAGAAGAAAAAAAATTCATTTGATAAATTGAAAATATTAATTAAAAATTAAGCACAAAATAATCTTTATAATATCTTAAAGAAGGTAATCAATGTTCGAAAAAAAATTAAGAAATTAAAATATATGTCTTCTACCGCTCTTTCATCGTTTAAAAGAAACTTTTCGATCGGTAAACTCGTTGAACGCTTTGCCTTTTTTTTTTTTCTAAGTACGAATTTTTAGTCTTCTGTGGTAACAAAAGCGTGGCTCAGTGGTTAAAGCGCGTAGCTGGAGATCTCGACATCATGGGTTCGGGCCCACGCAATTTTTGAAACTGTCATGAAGGGCAGCATAAATCACCGTACAAAACAAAATGGCCGATGTTCTCCAAAGACCACGTGATTAATAAATTAAATAGGTAAGTTAAATAATAATTAATTAAATCCTTCATAAATACTTACCGAATAAAATTAATGAATGCCTCGGCGATTCAGCACGCACGGCATGGCGGGAAAAGGATGAGTCATTCCAAAGGAACACCACGTGATCCAGTATGGCGGAGGCCACGTCCCCGTTACGTCATCCTTTGTTCTATTACGTCATGGCGGCATCCTTTTGCCGCAAATGGGGGATATCATATTATAAAAATGTGATGAAATCAATCAAGGAAACAGAATATTATTGTTGGCTACGTTCTTTGATGATGCACAGTCTGAAAATGCAAAATTTATTATATCAACAATGTAAATCTCAATATCATGCAGTATTACAATATCTCACAGTAGTTATCTTTTAACTACTCAAATGTCCAATAGAAACGCAATTAAAAACAGCTAAAGAACGCTAATCCGCGAATTCGCTACAATCAACAAGAGCAGTTTTCTAAACAACAACAAACTAAGCAACTACTACAAACTGAGATGTTTTCCCCTTTTATAAGATTTTAAAATCACGCGCTAGAATTTTCCAGCACTTTCTCGAAATCAAAAAGAGATATTTATTTATTTAACGCACGCGCTCTTGTATTTTTAATTTTTCCGGCTTAGCTTTCTTTTAATATTCGTCACGAGTTGCACTGCGCGAGAAATAAAACCATTTAATTTATAATTGAACTAACATTAGCTTTTTAAATACCAAATTCGTAACAATATAAATTTCTGTAGTTGTAAATATTAGTAGATCGTGTTTTTGTTCTGCTTATCTGTGGTATTTCTGTTTCATCAACCTTCTATGTTCTGTTGATATATATATGAAGAAATGTCTGCACGTCTAATTTTTCGTATCTTCGTAAGTTTTCCTTTTTCTTTTAGCACGGAAAACAGCGTAAATATTTTCAAATACTTCGATAAACCTTTCAGCGTATGGAATTCTGAGAAAGCGTGACTGAGTAGATTCTGTTAAGCTTCATGCATCATGATATGTAGTTTCTTTTAACACATTACTCCATGCCTGTTTTGTATATCGTTCCGTTTAATCGGTGATATCTGATTTCATTGATTTGCTGGCAGCCGGAGATTTGTGTAGAATTTGATTGAAGAATATAATTTTTTAAATTGTATATTGTCTGTCGAGAGTGGCTGATGCGGCCTGAACGAAAAATATACTGTCAGTCACCGTTGACTAACACGGTATTTAACGTGTTAAGCCTAATGAAGAGATTAGTCTCTAAACAGAATAGTTTGAATGAAGTGATAAGTATTATAATTATCGTGTGGTGCTGTAATATATGTGTCATGAAAACATTTACTTGGTCTGTTGTTCACCTAAAACAATTTATTTTTAATTGAACTATCAACTTTTAAAAGAAAAGTTATTTCATTGGAGACGAAAATACAATTTTTGAATCGTTTGCTAAAAGGAGCTAAAAATCGTTTGCTAAAAGGTCATCTTTCGTTGCAAAAAGTTAAATTTAAATGAGGCAACTGTCAGAAACTAATATATATATATATATATATATTCGCAGCCTTCTGTTTTGTATGTTTATTAGTTTCATATAACACGTGTTATTAGGAGGGATACCTGTCCTTAGAGTAGTATTTCTTGCTAAGTAAACTTTTTACGGTTTGCTTGGTGCTATTCATTTGTAACATTTGTTATGAAAGAAGGCGTTACAAGTTCTTTAATTAGCTGTCAGTTTGAATTCTTCTGATCATAGACGAAAAGACTATACGATACCCACTCGGCCGAATGAGAAGTTAATATTTATAAGCATTGGCTTTTGAAACATAAAGATTATTATGCATTAGATCAGTAGAGATTAAACGCAAATTTAAAAATATGCATTATTATGGAATAAATATAAATCACATAATTATCAGTCTTTGAAAAAGAATTATGATCGAGAATTGTGGAATAAGTTTCTTTGAAATGGATGAATTAATTTTTACGAACTTTAATTTGAAATTACACATTTTGTCATGATTAAAACAATCATCATCAAGAACATCCTTAAACTGCTCCATAATCTGAACTGATACATATTTTTTCTGATTTGGATGCACTAAGTACATGCATAAAAATAACCTGTTTATTCTTCTCTGGATTAATTTACTTTTAACTGAATTCGTTCTGCATGCATAGGTCATGCTTCTGTTTCATATTCTGGTTTCATATTTTCCCGAAGTAACCGCTTGTAAGCACAATATATAGCACACACACACATACGTGCAGCATGTGATCATTCTTCTGTGTCACTACAGCAACACGATCCAGATGTCAAGGAGACAATGCCTTTTTGAGGAGCCCCTGAGGGCAGTTATCTACCACCTCCACTAATAATAAAACCAGAACGTTGGATATGAATTGCATTAAATGCAATAATGTATGTAGATAACTTAAGGGGGAAGTCAAAGTGCAAGTAAAATAATTGTTACGTACTTACGGGCTTGCAATGGATTGAATGCACACAGAACCGATAGAAGCTTGATGAAATTTACTTTTCCAGAAGCATTTTACAGTTCTGAAACACTTTTCTAATAAAAGTACTCGCACACCCCTTCTCAATGTGACAAAGCACAGTTCTTAGTAGTTTGAAGAAGTAGTTACTTCTTCAAACTACTAAGAACGCTAACACAAGGTAATGCTAAGAGCCTCAAAAAACGTAAGCCCGCACAGGAATCTCTCAATACCCTGAGCTAAACTCAGAATGAAACTGAAAACTGATGCTTTCTCTGGGCCTTATATAGTTTTCTTGCGTCAGCTGAGAAATTTCCAGTACCTTCGATTTCTCGAAGTTGCTGGAAGGCATACACAGCTACAGTTATATAGGGATCGAACCCGTTACAGATACATAAGGATCGAACCAGTTACAGTTATGTAAAAATTGGACCAAAATGCGACTAAATAATTTTCAAGTTTGTCTACTTTTGGCGGTTTCTCGGCAGATCGGGAGACAAAAATAAGTCTTCAAAACTCTTGCCAGTTTGGGTTTGGTCTATCTCACCAATTTTTGCGAGATAGCCATTTACCTCAATGACAAATTGACTTACCCCTGTAAACCTGTTTTTCCGGCAATGCTTTGCACTCCTGAGGCCTTTCGTGTTACATTTTACGGGAGATACTACAATTTACATATAATTTCACTAAAATTATTTACATATATACAACATTCTTAGCAATATATATCGATTTTAATACATATGATCTTGTATTAGCATATTTAATTGTAGATCTTGTATTAAAAATGTTTTTGATATAGTAGTGCAATAGTCCGGGAGACCTAAACTTAGGTGGCTCGACTGTTTGGAAACAGACTTCAGAATTTTAAAAATAACTAACTGGATGTCCAGGGGCCAAGGATAGAAGAGCTTGGAATTCGATTCTGAGGAAGGCAAGGGCCCATTCTGGACTGTCTGGCCATTGAAGAAGTACAATAGACTATATGTACTGAAAGTTATTTGAAAGTTTGAACTAGGAATCCATTGAATAATTTGACATAATTCGTATTTAATACATGGGAGTATTTTCTGGTTATCTATTTTCTTGATGTTTGCTTCTATAAAACATCACATTTATGTATTTTTTTTTAATTTCTTCATTTTATTCATATTTTAATAAAATTATAAATGAATTAATGATTCATGCTTCTTATAGATATGCGGGCCAATCTCCCATTTTCTCTTAAAAATATGTAACTGTTCGTGCAGGCAAAGGAAGGAAACTAATTTAAATAATTTTTATTCAATTTTCCCTTTAATGTATTAGTACTTCGTAGTTCAAGAGTGTGTATTATGTTATTTTTTGGAAAATGCTGGGATTTTCGTTATTATTCTGCATGTTGTCATTTCGATTGATCATTTATTGTTATCTTAACTGCAAAAGTGTTGCAGTGTAAAGATAAATATTTGAGAACTGTATATATAGTCGCATATTAAAGTAAAAGTCTTGCATTAAGTGTACTCGAATAAATGCATAAATATACAGTAAAAAGTACAGATAAAGTACATACAATAAAATAATAATAATATCTTTATCTGTAAATTAAACAATACAATAAACAACAATAATACAAACAACAATAAACAATAATAATACACAATACATACAATGAAATAACAATATCTTTACCTGTAAATTAATATACAGATTTAAAGTACTTTAACTTTTACATATGTAGGAAATGCTGAAATCTAAATAGTGAAGCTCCTTGGAATCAGAATCAGATTGGGAGGGGGGCTGAAAAACTGAAGTGTAATAATTACTCACTTCAATTTTTAAATTCACTCGTAAAAATTACGAGTTTAAAAATTACTCACTCGTAATCTTTACGAGCTATCTCTAACAGCGCTTTTCTGTATTTCTATACTTCATATGGAACGGTGGGCGTTTTCTTGTGGGAGGTGCATGTTCTTGTGTGTTATAAATTGTTTTAACATTTCATCTGTGTTACGAATATAAACTCATAGAAGTAAGTTTATATATAAAAATTATTCATTTGAATACATGTTTCGTACTGTATATTTATTTACTTTTAACCACGCGATTCGCACTCTCATTTACTTTTTTGACAGCTGAGAATTTTAGTCGAGCAGCTAATGTAACATGCAACGAAGGGGAAAGTATCCATCACTGCCCCAGAATTTTTTTTTAACCTAACCCCGCTTTGTGCATGTAGCGGGAAGTTTCTACTGGGGACAGAATGCATTAATTGGGCTGTCAAGTTACATAGCCAAGATTAGTGGTATAAAAACATTCAGGCAATTTGTCTCTGTTAAGGGGAGTTTTATTTCTTCGTTTCTTACGATTTTAAAATTTCATTTCCTATTGAAATCTACTGTTTGTTACTCTCGTTTTTATAAGTATGTTTATCTGTGCCTTATCAAGCTTAAATTAACAAATGTTAACATTTGTTACTAACATAGAATCAAATCCAGTATTAAACTAAGAACGTTAATTTAATGATAACTTTGATGTTAGAAATACTTTGTTAAACTTATGAATGTTAATTTAGAAGTCAAACAACAAAAATCAGCGTTATATTTTCAAATTTTCACAGGGCTACTTTCGATGGTTTTATCGAACCATCATCTTCAGCTGCAAAAGCGCAAATGAGATGAATCTCGTTCATTTGCGCTTTTGTTGTTTGACTTCTAAATTAATACTTGTTCGGCATGTTATTGTATCTTAATTATGAATGTTAGTTTAGTAAAGTAGTTCGTTGCATTCCTTGGACAACCAACGGCCGAGCAGTAAAAGCTACTGAACCTTGGTGGTTCGGTCTGGGGCTTGAGTTCCGGCTAATGGGGTTTCTGTGGTTTTCCCCATGTGTAATGTGGATACGAGCCAGCTTCTAAAAAAAAGTCTTCCACAGGACGTCGTCGCTTTCTGTATAGTGCCTAACGGTGGAGCTTGTAATAAATGAAACTTTGCATTCCTTAATAAGATATAAGCAATGATGGTTTTGCTGGAAAACCTTTTTTGTTAAAATTGTCTCCAATAATGCGAACCTCTTGTTCTCTTGTTGGCATGTTTATTTATTGTAAGAAAAACACGTGTCGCGCAGTGGCGTAGCTGGGGAGAGGGCAAGGAGGCATCTGTTTTCAAGCGTAGCACAAGGGGTCACCAAATCAGCGGTGATGTCCACTAAGTTCCTTATTGCATTTTGACAAACAGGGGGGACGGGTAGCGAAATCCTCAGTTGATCCCTGAGAGCTGAAATCCCTTGCTACGACTGTAGTGTTGCGTGTCATAATCGTACTTTGACTTGAGCTACAATTATTATGCAAATTATCGCTACAGCTATTGCTGCAAAATTGAACGAACTCTCAGCTGGATGAATATTTTCACGAGATCTCCTCTGACTGTACCACATATTTTAGATTTAATGACAATCTTTAAACTTATCACTTTAATTAGAATTTGGTGTTTTGTTTTTAAAAAATAAAGCGCAAGCTCTTTCTCAAAATTTTTATAATTCGCCATTCGAATATATTCCAAATATCCCGATTAAACTGCGACCACAAGCTGCTACCCTGATATTCGGATAATTTGTTTGGCGTGCTAAATGCATATTTACGGTTTTGCAAACAGATATATATTGCTTTATTTATTTAAATTTTATTTTAACGAAGGTTATATATTTAAAAATATAATAGGAAAGTCATTTATTTCGATATAGTTAAACATGACCAAAAGACACGAACAGTTTCAAGTAAAATTAAACAATGAAATTTAAATTTTAAAATAATTAAAAAATAACAGTATAACGCATATTATTGAATTTTCGCATTAATTTATTAAAGCGTTATGGTTTTAATGAAACGACTCGTTAAAATTAACGAAAAAGTAAAAAACTTGTTTAGTAGCTCAATAATATTACTTAATCCAGAAGGACCAAGTAGTCCGGATAGTTGGAGTTCAGGATATCTGTAGCTGAATATAATTTGAACTATCGTGGTGCTTTTTAATATATTGATGTCGTAGCTGACGTTGGACTGGGAAAGGAAAACAATTTGCGTAACTGTTCAGAAAACAATGTACGGTGGGTTACTTAATTCTGTGTGAAAACTTCATGGTTGATCTCTGTTTATGCTGTGACACAAGAAACGTTAAAAAAGTCATCTTAGTCTGGAATAGTGCATCAACACGGATACCCGTTTTGCGAACTGCATTCGCCTGAGTTGTCTGAAATTACCCCACTGTAAAATCTATGGAGGTAAAAATATATTATTTTCAACCTGTATGGTATAATTCCACAATCAGCATGTGGTAGTGGCGCCATCTATCGAAACTAGTCACCGAAACAAAGAGTGCCAGATGGTGTGTACCTCAGTCAAGTACCTCAGCTTATATATTTAGAATGTTGCTGTAAGATAAGAATTAATCGGTATCTTTCTGTTATTTCCATTGTGTAGCAAAAGAAAGTTGCCGTATACAGTAGGCTTCATTGTATTCTATAGCTAATTAATTGGAGAACAATTATAAAAATTCCAAATTTTATTTTTTATATCTGTGTATATATGCATATTCTAAAGACAGTCTTAAAAAACTCGATTTATAAATTTATCGCTACGTTACTTTTAACATTTCTATGTCGTGAGAATTTTTATTGTCCAATAAAATCGGAAGTTTTGGTCCATTAAAAAGAGTAGGGCAATGTGGTTGAAGTTAGCAGAAGTGCACCCATTATTTATTTTGATTGAAAATTTTAATATTCATTGGGATAGTTTGCTGAAAGGGATAATTCATTAATTAATGTAAATGGATGCTGAAATTAGGAAGTTAATTTTTTTTCCTAATGTTACAAATGACCTCGATTTGTCCAAGATATGCTTTTGGAGAGAGAAGTTGAAATTTATTCAGATTAATGTGTTCCCGTGAAGCTTTACTGGGTGAGAGGTGAATAATGTTTATACTGGAATTGTAATTTAAACACTGTATAATGACATAAAAAAAATTATTTACTGTCATAACAACCAGTATTAGTTTAAATTATGGAACTATATCAACTGAAGGTAAATTTAAAAAAAAAAAAAAAAAAAAAAAAAATTCTGTGTGACAAATGGTCATACTCCTTTTCCTACTTTTGATCTTTACACTTTATGAGATTTTAAAGTTTAAGGCTTTTAAGGTACAGAAATATTTAAGGTTATGTAACCTAATGGCATTTATTTGCAAAAGCTGGATAACATCACATAAAGTACCCGATAATCGTGGCATATAGAAAAAGTTGGAATTAAAAATTGTTCTGTCATTCTCCCTGTTCTGCTAATTTTTTTTCTAACGTGAAATTTTCTTAGAGCTGCTAATTATAGAAAGAAGATTCAGGTTGTTCTTAGCAAGATTCTCAGATCTGTCTATCATAGTATGTGACTAATGCTTCAATCCACCATGATTTAAAAACCTAGTATTGACTAAAAAAAAATTACAAATTCATGTTACTTCTTTTGAAAGATTGGTTGTCTCTTTGTATCAAGGAATTTAACTCTTTAGCAAACTTTTATCCAGCATTGGATTACAAATATAAGAGATGCAAAACAATCTTCGGTTAGAGTTGACTTTAGGGTACCCGTTGTATTATAGCGAAGTTGTTTCATTTATCGCCAAGTTGTTGTTTTGTTTATGGTAACCTGAGTAGTTGAATGTTATGGAAACCCTATAATAACATAATCGTTTTCATGATTCCGAGAAATTTTGAATCATGGGATGAAATAACAACAAGAGTTAAGGCCTTTTTTGGTGTGCTGTTTAGGAAATACATTGCTTGTTTCATTGTTTAGATGGTAGAATGGTTGAATGTAGTAAGATTAATTTGAAGTTTCTGTACGATTTGGAACAAAAGGAGAAAAGTGCATTAATTGACTGGTGTGAAAATGAAGGTTTACTTAGTAGCCATTTTCGGGACAGTCCGGAATACGTAGAATGTTTTTTACTCTTATTTTTGTGAATTTACGTGGCGACGTCGATATACGGATTCTAGTTCAGATAATTTTAGGAAGTTTTTGGGATGCTGTTAAGGAATTTTGTGTGTCACAGAGGTAAGTGGATATTTGCTTTGTTTAATGCTTAAATGCATAATTCTTTCTTATGTTATTTTATTGTTTGGTTTAAAATGTAGTTTTATGTATTTTTTGTTTGCCTCTATTGTAGAATTGAGTGCTCCTTTGACTTTTTAAGTGAAAATATATCGATGTGTACAATGGACAAACTCAAGGGAGTGTGTAAAGCCTAGTTTGTGCAATTCTCTGATTTTTTTTTAAGTGAAAATAGGTCGATGTGTACATGGGTACCGAGTTTGTGCAATTCTTTGTCAACGCAAGCCAAAATACTTACGAACTTAGTAAGATCTGGTGAATTGCATGTCTGAGTCACAAGCGGCATGTTGTTTTTTCTCAAGTATTATGAAACAGAGAGAGTTTTTTAGAAATCAGATGAATAAACTTTCGATGATCTTTGTTAGTAGACTGTCACACTTTCTCAATGTTTTCCTCATTTCTTCTTGTCAGTGGAAAAAATAGCAGTTTTCATTTAACATGTCACCCTTTTTGAATCTGGAAAACCACTAGTACATATGTAATTTACTTAAGACATCATCTTTAAAAGTTTGTCAAAGCATAAAAGTATTAGCTGCGTTTTTTCTTAAAAAAAATAAATCTATATGCATGTTTTTACTTTTGTGTGATCACACATCACAAAAATGACAGAACAGTACAAGCAGAAACACTCACAAATCAGCACTAAAGATGAAGAACTCTTCTCAAATTGATGCTGCTTGGTAAACAGGCTTAGGAAATCTTAATCTGACAAATGGTGTGATTTGTAATTACAAAATGCTCATGCACAGTGTTGTAATTCCAGTTATTTTGGGGTATTTGATATGTATGTAAGTAGCTTTCAAAAATGATTTATTTAGCATCCTTCTAGCTTGAAAATTGGTGATTAATTTAAATTTTACTTTTGCCTTTCAGAACTTCAAGACACTATGGAAACATTTTCTGAGTCCACTGTTGTGTTTACTGAGTTATTGTTTGACACCGAACGATACCAATTCATAGTTGGAGCAAGGTATTGAATTAGTGCGATTCTAATTATTTCATTATGTCTAACATATGTTTTGAAATTTTGCCATAAATTATCAGATATTAATTAATGTTTGGGATTCTGGGACTGATAAGGACTGTGAATAGTTGACTTTAGAAAAAAAGACTGAGGAAAGATACTTTAAAATTTACAATATAATTAGATTTATGTATAGTTATTTAAAATTTTAGAGATCTCACTTAAGTAAATTTATATTTAAGGATCATATTGTCTTTCTAACACCTAGTAGCAAGTGTTATTTTACATACACTGAGAAAAGACAAAATTAATTTTCTTACAGGGACATTACCAACACCTGTCCCGTAATACCTGATTACCAAGGCTTAAAATTCAGCAGTTTTTATCATTCTAATTGTATGTGGAAATCAATAACACATAATCTGGCTTTTAATTTCATTTTATTAGTTAACTACTTGACATTAATTGAACTTAATTTATTATTTATTTATCTGCATTTTATTTAATTTTAATTATTTATTATTTCATACATTTAATTTTGTTCATCATTTTAATGACTTTTCACAGGGCCCCAGTACTTCTGATTTATGCCCTTTTGATACACAAGATGCTTTATATTCTACTTTTTTTCATTTCAAGCCACTTATATACTTGTATGTATGATAGAAAAAGACATAGCAATGTTGTTAAGCATAGAATACTGAAATGCTGATCCATAGTGAATAAGAAATTTGGCAGTCAAGGCAGTTTTAATTCCACTTTTATTTAAATCCAAATTTATAGCCACAGTTTGTTTGTTCAATTGGCACTCTAATCATGCCTATTTTCAGAACATTTACAGGTTAATCTTTGAATTATGGTAACTTGGCGATTTTTTGACGAAAATTTGGCGACTAACCCTGCTACAGCAACCTGCTAGTTTTTGTTTGGACGCCATTTTGTTTTCACGACGTAAAGGCTTTTTTTTTTTTTTTTTTTTTAACTCAAAATTTTTTTCCCAACAATCTGCTAGCCAAATTACGCTTATGCTAGAACTTCTATGGAACAAAAGTGCTTAATCATGATGAAGATTAGGTGTGAAATTGGGAAAAAGTGCAGAATCGCCCACTGCTTGCCGCGTTTTTAAGAATTACATGGTATCATCCATGTACATGTCAACTTATTTTCACTTTAAAAAAAATCCCAGAATTGCACAAAAATAGCATTGTTCACACTCTTGACTTTATCCATGTACAGGGCTAAAGTCTTAACTAGTAACCTTTATTGCCTTACCAAAATATCGCCAAATTACCTGTTACCATATTGCAAAGATTAGCCCATTTACATTTTTAATGTAATTGTGACAGGAACAGAGCACACAATACACAATTGTAAGATAAGAAGTATGTAAATCAGCTTTTGCCCCAATTAGCTATTGATTACATATTCTGCTTTGTACAAGATCGTCGTCAGTTCATAATATAGTTGGGCCCATCCCAGCACTCTTTGGTCATTCCTATTAATCCCAGACTCTTCGGTCATTCCCATCTGCTCCACCAGACATAGGAGGTAGGAGTGATGAAAATCCCACCAGACATTGGTAGGAGTGATGAAAATCCACTGAATACTAATTTGCAATAAAGCTTGTTTTATATCTACTAGGAATGTACGAAAGAATTAGCTGTTTACAGATATGAGTTAATATTGCTGAAATGAGAAACATGAGATTCAGAACTTTCACTAAACATTCATTCACAGATACTGAGTTTTTAGTATGCACGGAGGCATCAAGCACAGGCCTAATTTTCATTGTTGCTGAATTTTAAATACCACTCGATAAGGCAAGAAATGTCCAGGAGTCATTACATCATTTTCAGGTCTTTGATTATTCCATACTTTAACCACGTTTATAAGATCTCATCATTATACTGTCAAAAGTCATTAAATCAGACACCCATAATCCGGAATGATCTATAATCCGTACCTCAAAGCTACAAACTTTCTGCGTATGCGTCACGTTGACGCATGCGCATAGGCGTTTACGCGTGCGCGTAAGACCTTTATGGCTGCGAATGTGCATGTGCACATGCATGTTTAATGCATAACGGATGGTATAAGCTAAGCTAAAATTGTCTAATTATCTATTTCAGTTAATGTTGCAGATTGTGTTGTTCCTTAATCTTCGAATTGGATCCGGCTTATTATTTTTTGCAGACTGTTAGAGCAATTTTATAAAAGTAAGCTTGAACTTTCGATTATGTCAAATAGAATTTCTGATATATATTTATTAATATGTAAAGGAACTACAAAGCGAAAGTATGTTTCGAAGTCCATTAAACAAAAAGTGGAATTACTGCAAAAAATCGATAAAGGCGTATCTCTAACCATTCCGAAATCTGTTTATCAATTTCACGCTGCTCTTTGGGGGGGGGGAATGCCGCAGCACGCAATAAATTGGAAGTTGATCTGTCATCACTATCCTTATCTTCAGGACAGATGTTTTTATTTTGTTTGGCTTATAATTCCTTACTAAATGTCGTATTTCATCTCGATGTACTCCGTCTTTGATATGATTTAAATCAAATTCCTCGTCATTATAATTCACTTCCGATACTGAAAAAAGTGACACAGAGATTATTGAAAACGAAAAAAATTTTGATTAACAAATTAGTCGGTATTCTCGACACAGCAATTATAGAACTTGAACAGCGGAACTTTGTAACTGAAGAAGAAGTTATGACTGTTTATAGAATTAAAGAGAAAGTATTATCACATAAAACGAAGCAACTTAAACAACTTACATTGAAAGAAATGTTTAATAAAGTAAACAAATAAATATTAAGCTTTTTTTCTTTGTAAATTTTGATACCCTTTAGATCATAATTGTTCTTTATTTCATATATTACGGTTTCATATTTTTAATTTTAATTTCTAATTTCTTTCTGCATGCCATCTTACCAGATTTAAACTGATGATCTATAATCCAGAAAAATCGATAATCCGGAATCACCGAAGTCCCGACGAGTCCGAATTAACGACTTTTGACTGTATACTCCTAAAATAGACTTCTAAAATGTTAACTGTTCAAACTAGACTCTCTATTAGCTATGTAACTGTGTGAATTCTATGCATCTTTTTTAATTCATTCAAATTATTTTGGTTTTTACTTTCAGGGATTGCATATATCGATTGAGCCTTGAAGGTTTGAGGGTATTAGAAAAAGCAGCTTGGCCAGCTCCTGAACGGGATATTAATACATGTATTCAGAAAGGACAGTCTGAGGTTATTTTTCTTTTTGTATTTTATTAGTTATTTATACTCTGTTTGGAGGCTACAGAAATAAAAGAACTATTGATTAAATATAATGATGTTTCTCAAAATAAATTAGTAATTTTTATGTGTGATTTACATATTTAATCTCTGAAGTTAGTGAAAATGTAAAACAAAAGATTTTTATTAATTTATTTATTTTATTAAATACATGTTAAAGTTACATTTATCATTACAAATCAATAATGTAAAAATAAATCCATATGGCTTTGTTTTAATTTGTTACTCTAATCTATTATAATTTTTAATGTTCTGTTTGAATGCATTTAAAAAACAATTTATGTGATATTTCATTTGAATTCATTTACAACAATTTTTAATTTTTATATTTAATAGTTATAAAATAATTTCTCATGAAACTTTGGTCTAGAAACAAGAAAAAAAAGATACTTCTAAGCTCTTTTTAGAAGAAATTATGTAATGTTTATCGATGATAAAATTTCTGTATATGCTGAATGTATGTAATTTTTGTCATTAGTTATGGAATTTTTACTCATTATTTATGGCATATGAGTTAGCAGTCTTAAATTATTATTATTATTTTCCCTTATTATAGGAAGACTGTCACAATTACATACGGGTCTTGCTAATGCATAATAACAGGTTATTTATCTGTGGAACAAATGCATTCTCACCTGAATGTTCATGGCGAGATGTAAGTTTCTAATATTCTGTTTTACTATAAATATAATTCAATTATGCATACTGTAGAGTTATACTGTGCTTAAAAGTTGTATATGTTCATTCACAAATAACACTGGGAACTGTTCTTCTGTTAATAAAGCACAGATTTAAACATTGACTTAGCACCAGATTTAAACATTGACATAAAATCTAACTAGATGATGGCGACCCTAACAATATGTAAGGTTTTATCAAAAGAATGATTATTTTATTAACTCTGGAATTAGTATAATAATAAAAACAATTGCAAAATAAATTTTTACAGATTAATTTCAGATTACATTTTGATAATTTAGATTAGATTTAGTTAAATAGTAGCACCCTGTGCTGCGCTGATGTTTATTTCACTACATTGCACAACATCACATTGCAATCCATCAAAAATAGTGTATTTGCTATTAATGTCGGTAAAAGTATAGTTTAGGGTACCCCTTGGCAAAACTTCGCAATTTTTGGCGGTAAATGGATACCAATTTTGTGCAATTTTTTTACTCTTTATTTTGGCTTGCAAAGCGGTGATTTTTGTGCCAAAGCCAAAATAACAAGACAAAACAATTGCACAAACTCAGTATTCATGTACACATCAACTTATTTTCACTTAAAAAAAATCCCCGAATTGCACGAAAAGGGCATTGTGCTCACTCCTTTGACTTTATCCATGTACACGTTAACCTATTTTCACTTAAAAAAAATCCCCGAATTGCACAAAAATGGCATTGCAACCTCTTTTCACTTTATCCATGTACACGTCGCAATGTTTTATTTTTGCTTAAAAAATGTTATGTTTTATGTTTGTCAATGTTAATGTTTTATTTTACACATGTTTTATTTTCGCTTAAAAAAAATCCCAGAATTGCACAAACTTGCATTGCGCAATCTCTTTACTTTGTCCATGTACACATTGATATATTTTCACTTGAAAAATCAAAGGAGCACCAAATTCTACAATATAGGCAAACAAAAAATACATAATCTCAATAAAACACATTTAAAACCAAACAATAAAATAACATAAAAAAGGAAAACATGTTATACATTTAAGCACTACCACCACGGCGTGCAATGAATTGGAAGTTGATCTGTCAGCACTATCCTTATCTTCAGGGCAGATGTTTTTATTTTATTTGGCTTATAATTCCTTACTAAATGTAGTATTTCATCTCGATGTACTCCGTCTTTGATATGATTTAAATCAAATTCCTCATCATTATAATTCGCTTCCGATAGTGAAGAAAGTGACACAGAGGTTATTGAAAACGGAAAAATTTCAATTGACAAATTAGTCGGTATTCTCGACACAGCAATTATAGGACTTGAACAGCGGAACTTTGTAACTGAAGAAGAAATTATGTCTGTTTATAGAATTAAAGAGAAAGTATTATCACATAAAACGAAGCAACTTAAAACTTACATTGAAAGAAATGTTTAATAAAGTAAACAAATAAATATTAAGTTTTTTTTTTTTTTTTTTTTTTTTTTTTTTTTTTTTTTTTTTTTTTAAAGTTTGGTACTCTTTAGATCATAATTGTTCTTTATTTCATAAATTATGGTTTCATATTTTTAATTTTATAATTTCTGCATGCCATCTTACCAGATTTAAACTGATGATCTATAATCTAGAAAAATCGATAATCCAGAATCGCCAAAGTCCTGACAAGTCCGGATTAACGACTTTTGACTGTAGTAGTTTCTAGTTCATCCATTAAAGCAACTGAAAAAAATCTAGGAAAGATGTATTCCTGGATTGATGGTCATTCTCTCCACTGAATCATAATAGTGTCATTGCACAGCTATTCATGACATGATCTAACAGGCTACCAGATTTGACAACTGGTGCCATGTTGACAGAAAAGCTCCCAATGATTTTATGAAAATTTCTTTTAATTTCTGTAGTGGTAGAAAGTGGTGTATGATTTTATTGGGTTCTTTGAAAATCATGGTGCATTTTTTTAACTGAAGGAGCTAGTTCAAAACTAGTAAGGAAGGTGGAAAGTCATTTGTATCTACAGAGTGTCCCATAAATGTTGCGACAAACTTCTGGGGGAGGTAGGGCATGTCATAAGGATTAAGAATTGCATAGGAACCCATGGCCAGAAACGTCATTATATGACGCCAGGGGGTGATGTAGAGAGTGCTAGCGGAAAGTGAGGATTGCCTCATTTGAGCGGTAGGAACCATACAAAGAGCATGGAACGCTATACTAATGGAAAGCTTGTAGACATGCACTTAATGTATGGAATAGCTGAGGGTAATGGACGAGCTACTACACGCATTTATCAAAAACGCTTCCCTGACAGACATCAACCACATCACAGTTTGTTTGCATGTCTGCATCAAAATTTGTGCAACTACAGGAGTGTTTGTGCTGGAAAGCCATCAAAAGTGCAGTGTATCAGATCCTGTTTTGTCTGAAATGGATCTTGTGGCAAGTCTCGCCTGCATAGCTGCTATAATCAAAGAAACTCCTGGTGTGTTGGAACATGTCCAGCAATCAATGGTCCGTTGGTGTCAGACATGTTTGGCATCTGATGGTGCAGACTTCAAGCATCTGTTGTAACATTCCAGCTGTTGTTTGCCATTTGTATTCATGCCCAATAAATGTTTCAAATTAATCACTCTCTTGCTTCCTTTCCCATCTTCTACCTCTGTTATTACTTACTCCTGACATTTCTGGGCATGGGTTCCTGTGCAGTTCTTAATCTTTATGATGTGTCCTACCTCCCTCAGAAGTTTGTCGCAACATTTATCGGATACCCTGTATCGTGTTGTCATGCCATTTAACAACTCACAGTTTTAGTTTCTGCCAAGGAGAAATGAGTGATTGGTTTGACTTTTATAGATTTTGTATCAAGTTGAAGATAGAAGACTAAATTGTGTATTTTCACCATATTTTACTCTTTTACATCCATAAAAAGATGATTATATGTTAAATGCTACACACTACATATTAACTTCCACTTAGGATCATTTAGGCACCACTGATCATTCTTTGACTATCCGTATGCACAAGTTCATGAATCCGTCTCACATTTTCGAGGTTGATGCTTGTGGGAAGTCTCCCAGATCACTTGTCCCTTACAAGGATGTTCTTTACCTTTGAATTGTGCCACTCAAAGCACTGCATACAGTTTATCGCTGTAATCTTGGCAAACCAGTTTTGAGAACAAGATACACACCAGTGACTTCTATTATGTCAGTTACTTGTAAAGTGGCAAGAAATAACTCTTTTTAACAACAAAACATAAATTTATTTACAGCATTTGCAGATTTGAAGAGTTAGTGTCTCTGTGGCCAATTTACCCAATGTAAAATTTCATGTTAGCTTGTTGTTCCACCTTTCCATTCATGAGATAATCCCAAGCTACCACATATATGTGATCACAGAAACATGATTATTGCAGTTCTCCATATTAACACAGCGATGTCTTGTGGTATACTGCCTTACCTAGACTGATGATCGCTGTAGCTGCAAGTTAATAATCCTGTGTTTCCATTTGTTAAGATTCTTTGAAGTTAAACCAGAAAATTTTTTATATAGCCATTTATATAAAATAAATAAGAAATAAATTTTTATTACATAGATTTTTTTTAATTGTTGATCAGGTTAATTCCCTCCATACTGTGCACGAGTGGAAATCTGGACTAGCTAAATGCCCGAGTAATCCTCATACTAATAGTACAGCTCTTATGACATCTGAAGGAGATTATTATTTAGCATCTGCCTTGGATTTTTCATCCCAGAACTATGCTATCGTTCGTATAATGGGAACTGAGCCATTTCTGCGGACTGTACAGTATGATCCCAAATGGCTGAATGGTAAGTTAATTAATCTTTGTAATAATATATTATATACATCAACTTCAAGTATTGGTGAAATTCCAAATTGGTCTTTGTTGAAATGAGCATTAAACGGGGCTGGAATTTTCTGGTTACTGTATTTATGTGTAAACTGATATTAAAACAATAAAGGAGAAAATTCTTAAAAAACTGAAATTTGAAGTAGACTGTTGACCATTACAAAATGAAATATTATTCTGCTGTATTATTCTGCTGAAATGCTATTCAGCTGCATTTAACTTATATGACTAGTTTATATCTGGAAATAGCATCATTAATACAAAATTAAATCTCTATTTAAATTAACTAAGAAATTTTAATTTGGTATAAAATTCACTGGCTGTAATCAATTAATTTTATTAGTCATGAGAGTTAATAAAGGGTAAATGATGATTTATGGATTAATATACAAAAATAATGCATGAGCAGAAAGAGAGGTCACTATTTTTAGAATTGAGAAAAGAAATTTACATTGCTAATTTAATCTGTTACATATTCTTTATTTTTCCCACTCTTACACATATATATTATATGTGTGTGTGTGTTTCTTTTTTTTCCAATTTTTGGATACTTTTAAATTTTAAGGATGCTAGACTTAACTCCCTTTAAATGTTCTACTCTAATCAGAGCGAAATAAAATATTTCTTATTAGGACTATGAGAGGTGACAGGTGAGAGCAGGTCCGGACAACCGGACGATTTACGCTTACACAGACTAATCGGGTATCGTTCGGATCCCGCAACTGTCTGAAGCTACGCTCCGAAAACAATACAAGGGCAAGTACATGGCCATACAAGGTCAAGATATTTCTGCATGCGGCATTAAACATTTCCCTGGCTACATCGCATGTTAACACATTGCTACACTTTCTCGCTACACTATACATTTCATAGTATGCATTGCGTTGATCATTGCACTGTACTTAGGCCATTACAACTCATGCTACACTTAATACACTATATATTCTTGCAACATATTAGCGACATTATTCTTGGCAATCAACATAGAATTTGAGCAATGTAATTGATTAAATAAGACATACTTGATTATATAGTACATAACTTAGTTACATAAGACAAGCTTAAATAAGTAACTTGAAAAGCAAAATTGCACATTGTTATATACAGCATAATTCTTAATACAAAAAGCTTTTAAAAAACTGTTAGAAATGCACATTGAGAGAAAACAAATTACAGACTGCAAAAACATGCATTCATTACTTACTCCTGTGATTATCACATGCAAAGTACAGGTGTCTTGTTTGGCAACCCATAACAGTTTATACAGGAAGCATAATACAGTCCATACAGGGGAATATTCATAATTGCTTTGCTTAATATCTTTCATCACGTTAACTCTACATGTGCTAGATACCTTAAATACTATACTTGCCATGCACTATACACTTCATAATATGCACGTTAACACACTGCTATATATAAATCACTCAATACACTAAAATTTACAGAATGCAGTAATATTTACATACATATAACTACTATAGTACTTACATTCTGTGCTCTTGAATACATTAAGTTGCACTACTACAGTTATAATTACTATGCTTCCTGCGGCTCAAACCATAGCTCTGCATGCACTTACACATTTTAACGAGGTACTATATACAGAGTGCTTCACAATTCAATATTCATAATACTCTATACAATATTCTATTTATAAAATACACATGCTTACATTATTGCACCCATGCATTAGTGTGCTCATTACAAATATACATAATTAAACTATTTACGTTTGGATAATATTATATCATATTTACATTTGTTTTCCGTGTTCCCATCCTACTGTTACTCTGCTCACTGACTCAAGATGGGCATCTTGCAGAGGCCACTGGAAACCAGTGTACATTGATGCTCTGATTCTCTGGGAGATTGAAGTTTTTGTTGTGGACTGCATAAATCTAGTCCTAGAGCTTCAAGTTTGTTCATAATGCTTTTTTGAGCTTCTTGAGATAGGCCGGCTGCTTAATGAAAAAGAGTTTATACGCAATGTCAGTATCAAGAAGCCTCATGTGCCATTCTTCTGTAAGAGCGCAAGACGTAACGTAATGATCAGGTGTACCTACGTCAATACAAACACAATTATTAGTTGTTGATATTCCCCTTTTATAGAAATGTTGGGGAAATGGTCCGTGGCCTGTGATGAAACGGGAAAGAAAAGGGGCTGAGATGAGTCGATT